GTGAGTGGGGCTGCAGGTACAATAGTTTGTAAAGCAGCAGTTCAGACTGTACCAGTGAAGCAGAGAACCACAGTACACTCTAGTTACTCTGTTGAATGTTTAAAAAAAAAAAAAAATTCAAATCACCCTAATACACACCTTGTATCTTGGATTATATAGAACTTTTATAGCTATAGAGTGGCTGAACGTAACAAGGGAAAGGCTACTGGGCACTGAGCTAGCTTCAAATGAACTAGTGCATCTCCTCATTTCAGGACAACACCAGCCAGAAGTATTGACCTTAAAACTGCCTCTGCTTTGGAGTTTGCTGGAATGTGTCTCTGCAAGGTACTGTACTGGTCAGTACAGATATACTCTAAGCATGCATAAAAGGCAGAATATGAAAAAAGTCAACCTCAGTAAGCATGTGTGTCTGTTATTGCTCACCTGTGTTTAATACATTATCTAACCTTTAATAATTCATGCTTGCAATTCACAATTCGGTTCTTTGTTGGAGAAACCGGTGGTTATTACTGAAGTATATAAGAAATTAATTGTTCTGGGACTGAGACATGGAATGAGTTTTCCTTGATTAGGTTTTTGCTTCTTTTCCCTTTCACTCTTTTAAATTTTTGTGCAACTGTACAGAATTTCTTGACATATGCCAACAGAGCAAATGTAGCATAAAGAGGAAAACAACGTGACCACAATCCAAATAAACAAGATCTTCTTTTTAGATCATAACTAGTCAAGAACAGTTTAAACTTAAGACCCAAAAGCATGATTTTGGATGGCCATGAAGATATATAATATGAACTATATGGAACATAGTACATTAAAAGAGTACATTAATTTCCTAAGCTGTTTTTACTGTAGTTAGTTTCTATAGTTTTGCATTAGCAGGTTTCGCTTCTCAAATTTTCAAGGATTCAGACTTTCTAACAGCACTTTGGATAGTCAGGAGAGTATTTTAGAACACTTGAATTTTGGCATGCAGGTTATGGTTAGGTATAGTCACTAAAGCAAAAGTGAATTAAAGGGCTTAATCCACATCTCTAAATTTTTCAAGGGTTCAGACTTTCTGGAAGACTTTCTAACAGCACTTTGGACAGTCATGAGAGTATTTTAGAACACTTGAATTTTGGCATGCAGGTTATGGTTAGGTATAGTCACTAAAGCAAAAGTGAATTAAAGGGCTTAATCCACATCTCTAAATCATTATATACTTGCAAGTAGGGAAACAATGTCTGTAGTCTTTTTTGCCATATCAAGTTATTAATAATGGGATAGTGAGAATTTTACTTAATTGTTAAAATCTACTTTATATAACTGGTTTTGGTAGTCTTTTTATTTTAGTAATAGTTGTTCCAAGTTTGTATCCCAGCAATACAGCTGATAGCAATCAGTTACATAGCATAACTATGAAAAACCCAAAGGCAGTCTCACCCTTCTGGCTACCCCTGAAATGTTCAGGTAGAGTACAGGTCCTGTGGCCATTCAGCCTCAGCTGCTGAAATTCACCATAGTCTATAGGCTGGTCAACACTAAATATTCAGTATCATAGTATCATAGACAAGGATAAATTCATTATTAACAGCACCTAGATTCACATCTTCTTTCATGACACTTCTTTAAAAGGGACCTTTCCTTGTTATTTGAGAAACTGTCTCTTGCTGAGCAGTCTTATTCCAATAATGCTCCAAGGGACTTCAGTGGGATCTCTGACATGATATTAGTGCTATATACTGTGTGAGAGTATTGGAAGCTAGCGTGCCAATAGCTACAGCTGCAGGATTCATACCAAACTGATGTTAGCAACCTTACAGGAAATCTAAATGACTGTTGAGCTCAGTGATATTCGTGCCCTTTTAATCATTGTTATTATATCACTTATCACAGAGTGCAAGAATCCAACTAAACACTGCGAGTGCTTTACTAGAACAAAACTATTTTATTTACTCCCATGTTAGTAATGTACTGGTAAAAACCCATACATTCACATACTCATCTATTTGGTTGCTAAAATGATTGCTCTATTTATATTTTTTTTCTGATGAGTCTTGATAGTTTCAATTTTAGGTATGTAGCTGCAGAATAGAAACATTGCCATGACACTACTTGGGCACTAAAGTATGAAAAAATAAAAGTATCTAGTGACCAACATTTCATCTCTGTTCACATGACTTGGTGATGATTTGGTAAAGCTAAGGGCTATGTGAAAATAACTTATAAAATCTATATGTAATAACGTGCAGAGTATAGCTTTAAATCTATTTGAAACTTTACTGGTGAGTGAGCTATATTATATGTAATTAGTTCCAATTAAACCCCCTATTGAGTCATGCAAATATTAAACTATTTTATTTACATTTTTAAAGTGTTTCTCAAACCCAAGGTTTTGATGCACATACTTAAGAAATTGGGAGTTAAGTTTGATTCATTTTCACTGTGACACAGCTTCAGTCAATATGATGGACTACACAACGCTGTTGCGCTAGTCTGAGCGATAAGATGATGGGGGAACTTTATGCAAGAAGTTTGCAGTACGGTTGTGAATGTCAAGAAACAAATTGGAAGAAAGCGCTTCCTAAAACTTTAGTGTGCACAATTGTAGGATGTACTCTGTGCATGTAAGGAAAGTAATACATGAAATTATTGACAGGTAAAATACTGAAGTGCTGTAATATGACATTTGCTCTGAATTCATTCAAATCATAGTTGGCTGAAGTCAATGCTAAAATTTTAGTTACTTCCATTATGCTTTAACTTTCCTCTTCTTTCTCTAGTCTTCTAAATATCAACAAATGTGCAACAATGGATTTCTCTATATTATTTCTCTATATTTCTCTTATTTTTTTATTATTAAGGTAAAAACTTCTTCACAACATTGGTAATCAATTTTTATGTGTTCAATTATTTGATCAGACTCTGCAAATACTTACACTTTTGCTTGTATTTTGATTGCTCTCAATATAATTATTCATATGCATGTCATGGAGCACATACATTAGTGTTCGGTTCCATTGGCCTTTAAGAATTTCAGTGTCCAAAACAAGTGGCGCATAATACACTGATGTTCCCCTCCTTCTGAAGTGTTTGAGTTTTTATCAGAGAAAAACTTTCATACTGGCTATAAATAAGCAGTGTCTGAGTTCAACTTTTGTAACTCTGTCTTGGTTCATGAGTTTCCAAAACTAATAGTAATGTTTCTTCCAAAACAGAAGGAGAAAAGTGTCCTGATTATTAAAATTAAAATATTGGTATGTTGACTCATTTAAATTGTAAAGTACTAAGGATAGTTTTCCTCTTTCATTTTAGCTTTTTAATATTGTTTCCCTGTCTATTATGTATTCTTTAAAATTGTGAGGTTAGGAAGGTGTCAGAGGAAACTATCTTGGCTATCACATGACTATAAACAGAAAACAGAACCTTTTGCTGAGACAAAACTTTAATTTGCTTTATGAAGAGTTTCTTTTAAAACTTATGAAATAATTTTGGCAAAATTCTTCTCGGCCTATGTTATTCTGAAAGTTGAGTGAAAACAAGCAAGTGTGTTAAAATAAATATCTGGAGTTATTTTAGTGGAATTTTTATGTCAAAATAACCTGACATAATGTTATTACGTTAATGAAATCCTGTACAAGCTCATTTTCCATTGTGGTGTTTACATAGTAATCATGCAGAATTCTGTAATAATCAGATACACCTTATACCTGTCTTACTTTCAAAACAAAGTATTCCACATGGTAGGCTCATCAAGTTTTACTTTACTTTTACTCCGTTTTCAACCATTTTAAGTTTGGTTGGGGTTTGGTTTGGTTTTTTCCCCACAGGAATTCTTTACAAAATCCTTTTTGTATGAAGCAACTTATTCTAAAACCCAGCAACTTTTGATTTTGGCCTTTGTTTTGCTTAGAGCTGAAATTCTACCACTGCAGCTATGAAGTCTGAGTTCTCTTAAGCAAACAGAAAGAACCTTCTTTAGTATGGTAGTATCCAGGTTAAAGGAAGGGAGAAGAAGGAAGGTGAATTTGAATGAGGAGCATTAGTAGTAGAAAAGAAAGTGGTCACTAACTTCTCTAATGTGTCAGAGACAACACGGTCCTGCGGCTGTGCAGGGAGTTACCCCTTCAGAGGCCAGGTACTGAGCAGCGCTACTTTCTCATCTCACCTGTTAAATGCACAGTCCACAATTTTTGCAAGAATTTCTGGTTCAGTGTAATGCTTGGCACTGCAGCAATACTCACTAACCTCCCCCACCCCCCCCCTCCTCCAACTTTCTACTACCCACATGTAAACTCATTCTTCCTCTGCTAAGATTTTCCCTCTTCACTGCTGTGCATGCAGTATGCACGCAGCATGCACAGGTTGTCTTCCAACAGTACATGTGCCAGGGAGGGGGGGTAAATGCTATTGTAAACATTCATCTCATGGTCAGCGAACGCTGTTACATCCGTCAGCATTCAAAGCATTTCAGTGCATGGGAAATGCCGGCAGCACCTTGCTGCCTGCCTTGGGAGGGTTGTGCAGAGATCTGCATCTCTGTCCTTGGTCCCAAATCCTTGCACTGGCTCCGTACAGATGGAGCACACGGATGTTGCTTCGGAGCCCGTAGCCCAGGCACAGCCATGATGTGGCTGCTTAGGTGAAAACAAGCATGAATGCACTGACATTCTGCCCACAAAACACAGCTGTCTCATAACTCCATGCACTGTAGCAAATACTAATTCAGAGATCAAAGGCTTCATTAATATGGCATCGAATTCTATGAAACACCCGGCATGTACCACCATCATACACACCCGCTGCTTACCCTCCCTGTCCATTTCTGAGCGACAACAATCGTAAGAGAAATAAAACATTGTACGGTCTCAGCTGCGAGGAGATAGATGGATGTAATGCCACTATCCAAACCTCTGGCATTCTCACGACAGCTCTGCAAATTTGCAAACAGATTCTTCACCCCCCCAGTCCTCCCTCCCCCCCAGCCCCCCCAAACAGAATCAGAAAGCACATCTTACCACTGGATGAGAGAGAGGAACAGAAGTGCCCACACCATCATTTTGAGAGAAAATGCAGGATTCAAGAATGCAGTGGTCCCCAGGCTTGTTGGATTTGGAGGAATCATCTCTCTTTCTTCCCCCCCCCCTCCCCAGTTTTTTTCCCCTTTCCTCTTGGTTGCAGATGGATCCGTCCCCTTCTTTAATTTTTTTGGTAGTGGTTCTCCCCCCCTCCCTACCAGGTCCCGTCAGTGGGATGATACATTGCGCCCAGCTGCGGGAATTAATATGCAGGGGGACAGAAATTAGATCTGCACAAGCCCTTTGTAGATATAATCAGAAAACGTCAGCTCAGGCAGCAGGCAGCGGCTTCCAAATCTAGGGGAATAATATAATTGGGAGAAAAAAAAAACCCCACCAAAAACCAAATGCACAGACACTCACGGAATAAAAACAGTAAAGGAAAGGAGAAACACACATGCACACATTTACAGAACCATACACATGCATGCAACAAATTCCAATAAAGCAATAGAGTAAATGAGAGGGGAAAAAAAAAAAAAAAAGAAAAGAATAAAGCAATGGAGCCTCTGCCTGAATGCAGATTAACTCTGAGGTCAAAGTGGAAATGATGCACTCTGCTGCAGCACAGATTAACACATGCGTGGTGTCAGCCGGGGTGCTTTTTAACCTTTGATTACACATATGCAGGCAGCCTGGATTTTCATTTTGAAGGCAAGAAGGATTTGGCAGGCATAAAAAGGGAGGTTGGAAGGAAAAGCTTGCCCTGTGCTGCTGAGCATCCTCATTTTTCTAAACAGCCTGGAAATCGTGATTGCAAAGGGGGGGAAAAAAAAAAAAAAAGAAAGGATGGATGGGGGAGTGGAAAAGGGAGGGATGGTTGTTGCTAAGTAACTCAGGAAATGGGGAAAGCGGCATTGGTGGAGTCAGTATGAATGAGGTGATTTAGTATGTGATAGGATTAGGGGGGATATGCAAGGCGTTATCTCCCCTCCCCCTAACAAAATTAGGCTACACAGACATAGGAAATGCTTCCTAGCAAAAGGGGAAACACTAGATAGCTATAAAAGCTGGACCCTGCCCAATTTTGGAACCAGAATTGCAAGCTCTATTGTCCAAAAATGCAGTTTAGCAGCTACTTCTGAAGTAAAAAGATCAAGTAATCTCATGATTTCCCAAAGTAAGAGCACCTCATTCTAAAATAGGTACTTGGACCATGACCTAAAATAACAAAATTTTTGTCTCCCTAGTTTTTTCTGCCTAAACCCATAGAAAATATAAACAGCATCAAGCCTCCCCAGTGCTGTTTATAAACTGGAAGATGTAACCTGATAGTCTATCAGTTCAAAGCCCATCTTTCTAAAACTCAAGGGAGAAATAAAGAAACAATTATTCTAAAGAACACTTAGATGGAGAGAAAGTGAAATGCTCCTAATAGAATAAAATCATCAAAATTTCCCTCTGGACTCAGTCTAGTCTGAACCAAATGTGACACTTGGATCCTGCTCAAACCTGTCAATACCCAGGCCAATATGGTAATACCCAATGTCAAAATGCAGAATGAAATTTATCCATCAAAACCAGATAGTTACAGTAGTTGATGTCCCAGATTCTAACAAACCACATAGATCCAGCCTTCAGCCATCAAGCTAAATCTGTTCGTTTCCAAATGTGATACATTTCACTACAACAATAAGCGATAGATCAATGTTATTAGTTGAATGAAATACATCTTGGCCCTTGGATAGTTCTGTGATAATTCAAACCCATATCTAACACTGTCACTACACTTCTGTCAGTGCTCCCAAACAAATTAACAAGTTATGAACCTGGTTCTTTATATTTCCAGTGAATGATCCTATTCTTAATTAAGTACTTCTCCAGCTTGTGACATATGGCCACTTCACAAATAAAAAGCTATCAGATATTCTAAATGCTTTCCCTGTATCTCTCTCTCTCAGTATATGTATGCATGTTCAACTATCAACATTTGCTCATGGTTCACTTCGTTACCTGTGAACATGACACTTCTGTGATTTTATTACTGTAATCTCTCTAATCAGTTATCCAAACATTCCTTTGAAGGTTAACAATGCTGTGTGTGTTTTCATAAGGGAATCAAAATTGTTGATAGTTAAGAATTTGAGCAGTTATAGTCTTAGTTCCAGCAGCTGTCTGCTGTAACATAGGGAATATCAGCTTTACACTGCCCTTTATTTACTGAAATTTGCCCCATAGCAAAATGTTTCACATCCTTCTTGTCTGAAAATAATTATTGGACTTTCTACAAAATTGCTATGCAGTTTCACTCCAGAGGTTCAGTTCATTATTCTTGTTGAGGCAAGGCGTCTGAAGTAGAAGAAAAACCTCCTGGTGTCAAATCTTGTTTTTCCAGGCTTCCCTTCACATAGCGGGTATGTCAAAAGGATTTAGATGCTCTAATACTAATCTTTGACTACTTAGAGTTCATTAAGACATACTGAGATATAGTCCATTGGTAATGTTATTCCTGTAGGTATTTTATTAGCTGTACCTACTATTTTTGCTGTTAGTTGGATATCAGTTGGTCCTGGTGGGCAAGCATGCTGAAGATTCTGTAGATTGTTCTGCATATTAAAACTTGCATCATCATTTTATGACTATTTTTATATCTCAGATGCATCTACTTTAATTTTATTTTCAAATGTGTGCAATTGACGTTTAGGCACCAACTTAGGTAGTGGGGAATAGGTTCTGATATAGGTATCAGAGTTAATATCTTTTAGATATGAGCTATTTTTGGCAAATGCAAAATTGTCCTTGAAGTTCTCTGCAACCTTGGCCTGAAGGAAAACAAAACTAGGTTTTATGCTGAAAGCACTTAAATATTATAATCTGTGGTGATGATGATAACAACCTTTGCTAGGGAAAAAAAAAATTGTTTGTCTGTAGCATATGTAACTGCTACAGAAAACAAAAATCTTATAAACTATTTTCTATTTAAACACATTGTCTTAGAAGCACAGGGTTCTGCTATTTGTGACCACAAGCTTGGATCAGACAGTAATGTTTTAGAATGCTATCGTAATAAATTATCACAAAAGACCAAAATTATATAAGGACACTGCCTAGTGTGAAATGTTTTCCTGACACCTTTTGTGTGATAAACCCATCCTACATAGTCATTTGCCCCTGAGAACAAATGTGATGTCTTCACAACAAATGACTTAAAGGTTTTTTTATGGAAAATATGTCTTATGAAGAATAATTAAACACAGAAATGATTGTTCCAAACACATGCATTTTATATCAGACCAGAACAGTATTCACAACAGCATGTTACTATACTTTGGCAGACAGCTCGTCCATTTAGAAGGAGGTTCTCAAGCCCCATTGATTTCCCTAAGTTTTTGTAGCTTTAAGCTCAAAGAAAACATGGCTCTTCATCTAAAGTGATATTTTATTGTGTATCATATATAACATTATACATTGAGAAACATGACAAAAGATGTAAGTGAAAAAGCAAATGAAAAAGAAGGAAACATCTAGGTGGCTCAGTTGTCTTGTGATGATTTAGGAAACTTAATTACATATCAAGTAATGTTTTGGTGCTTAGAAAAATATGTTGTGTTTCAAATTATTGTTATCCAGAAATAAATTATCCTAGTTATTAAAAAAAAGCATGAATCTCTATATTTTTTTAAATATAACTTGTTTAAAGTTATTTATAAATATGTATTTTATAGTAATTGTGCTAAGAATGATAAAATTCTGGTTTACTCCAAGATTCTCCTAGCATACTCTAGTACTGGAGAAATATAGTAATACTCAATTACTGAAGAAAATAGCTTATAAAGCATTTTTTAGATGGAATTCTAAGATATGATACAATCTATCACTTTTCCCTTACCCTGTCTTCTAGTACATTTCTTGCTCATCAATAGGGGTATAAATGTATATTTAAAAATGGAAACAACTGAAAATGAATCTTAAAAAACTCCTAGAAGAAAGGTACCTTATGTTTTTGTACATATACGTTTGTCTTTGCCTGTGGGTGTGTGTGTGTTTTCCTATTAACTTAATTAGTTTATTATCTCACTGATAAAATTCTGTACTATAATAAGAGCTACCAGGTCTGACAACTCACTGCCATGTCAAGGATCTGTGGGTGGACATTTTATTTAAGAAACCCAGATGTCTAGTTCTCCTCTAATTCATGTGCACAAAATGCAGATATTTTGTGAAGGAGTAGCATGGAGGTGGACTGAACAGGAAGTATAGTGCTAGACTAAAATTAAGATTTAGAGATGGTTATTGACTTCTTCATGGACAGGAAACCTGTGTCTTTCAAAGAGTTCTGTTAGTCAAGTCTAAGTGGACATTATTGCAATAGTACGGATTTGTACATTCATATCAGTACTAAGTAGATGAAGTCAAAACTACAGTGCATCATGTGTCCAAATACAGACCTGTCTATTTTGGCAAATGTTACTCAAGTCTAATTATTATTGTTATATAACTAAAAAAAAATAGTCACTTTTTAATATTGAATCTCACTGCTAGTTTTTCCTGGTAAATATAGTATGAGAGAGATATATATAATTGTGTAGAATATGGATATTCTAGATTGGCAAAGTAGGACTCCACATGGATTTTATTATTTAAATGGAAAAGTATAATTTAACCATTGGTTTAGTGCTATTTTTTAGAATTAATATGATTCACTTGAGTTCTCAAAATAAAAGAAAAAAGTCTAAGAAGGTAAAAATAATTATTTTTAAAAAGACATCAAGCTGAAGCCATCTTAGACGATTCAATCTACTGCATTTTTAAAAAAGCCAAAATCTCAGTGCTGCTTCAGAAATTTTGTTTTAAAGAATTATTTTAGTGTTTAGCAATGAAGAAAAGAAGGGGAGCAATTATTTCCTAAAATTCACGGACAGTGATAATTCAGGTTTTTATGCAAAATGAACATTTTTTTTTGTTGTTACAGAAATAATTTTATTTAAATTCTTTCATCAGGTTTCTATTCCAAGCAATCATTTTCTGAGTGTTTGGCTTAAGGGAAAAAAATGCTGGTAGCCTAAATACAACCAAAACACAAACTCAGAGTACTGTGTTTGTTTATATGCTTTGATCTTCTGCTAAAAGAGTGAAGAAAGCAAGTTGTTGGCTAAGAGCTCTCTCACTGTACTTAGATTTACAAGCTCCTGCCAGCAACATACTTAACAAATGCTATTTTGTGCTGTAAACATCTAAGATTCTCTTATCATAAAATTCCTTCAGCAAACTGCATTTCCTGTCTCCCTGCTACTGACCTGAGAAAGCTTTCTTGTCGTGTGACATAATCTAGAGGACCCAGTTCCATTACACTAAATTGTTACGTGAAGAAATCACTGTACTAAAATACTTTCTGAGGAACACAATAATGGTTGTTTTCTGAACAGTTTTGTTAATGCTGAAGAGAAGCCTCTGCTCCCCAAGAGTTTGAGAAGCGTGATTTTCAGGAGACATGTATTGATATGTATATTCATGTGTATTGCTCTTCAGCAGGGTTTCTTGAGCACAGTATGTTGAGTGTGTTTATACTGTATAAAGAGCTTAGGTCAGAATTCTGCGTTCAAACTATAGCTTTCTCCCCGTGCCTTGAGCTAAACATCAAAGTTTAAGATCAATGGCGTTTGAGACCGTCCAGGAGGGCAGTCTCTGCTTCCCATAATCAAGCGCTGAACTGAAGAGGAAAGGAGAATGCTGGAGTCGTCCTCTTACACCTGAGAGTAGAGAGTGGGGGACAGCAGACAGGCAACGCTGTTGT